TGCTGGTGCACATCGATATCCATGCTGGTAATCCACCATGAAGGTGGAAAAAAGGAAAAAAAAAAAAAAGGGGGGGGGGGGGGGGGGGGGGGTGTGTGGTGGGAGAGTTAATGGGATTGGGGGGGTCACTGGGGCATCCCTGGGCTTTCCTGGAGCACCCCTGGAGTTGGTCTTGAGGATCCTTGGGGTGTCTCTGGATGGGGGCAGGGATTCCAGGCAGGTCCCTAGGGATCCTGGGTGGGGGGATACTGGGATAGGAGCTGTGACCCCCCCTGGGGGGGACAGGAGCCCATGTCCTCGAAGCCCTGGAGGAGGAGCTCAAGGAAGGCTCTGTGGGGCTTATGCTGGTAGTTTTAAACCTTTCCTAGTTTTCCAGTTTCCCGGGAACTGGGAGGAGGAAAGAGGGAATGGGGGAAGCCAGACGGGAGGGGGCGATGCTGAGCCTAGCTCCGCTGCTGCTGCCACAGAGGCCACCAGGGGGCGCCCCTGCCCCGCTGGCTGCCGGTCCCCTCCCGTCCCATGGTCCCTGTCCCCTCCCAGGGTAGGGCTCTGTCCCCTCCCGTCCCATGGTCCCTGTCCCCTCTGAGGGTAGGGGTCTGTCCCCTCCTAAGCCACGGTCCCTGTCCCCTCTGAGGGTAAGGGTATGTCCCCTCCCACCCCGTGGTCCCTCTCCCCTCCCAAGGCACCTGGTCTGGCCCCTTCTGAGCCGTGGTCTCTGTCCCCTCCTGCTCCATGGTCACTGTCACCTCCCAGGCAAGGGGTCTGTCCCTCCTCCGTGGTCCCTGTCCCCTCCCAAGGCACAGGGTCTGTCCCCTCCTGTCCCGTGGTCCCTGTCCCCTCCTTCTCCATGGACTCTGTCCCCTCCCAGGGCAGGGCTCTGTCCCCTCCTTCCCAATGGGCCCTGTCCCCTCTCAGCCAAGGGGTCTGTCCCCTCCTGAGCCATGGTCCCTGTCACCCCTCAGGCAAAGGGTCTGTCCCTCCTCCGTGGTCCCTGTCCCCTCCCAAGGCACATGGTCTGTGATCCCTGTCCCCTCTAAGGGCACCAGTGCTGTCCCTCTCCTGAGCCATGGTCCCTGTTTTCTCCCAGGGCAAGAGGTATGTCCCCTTCCGAACCACAGTCCCTGTCCCCTCCCAGGGTAGGGGTATGTCCCCTCCTGTTCCATGGTCCCTGTCCCCTCCCAAGGCACAGGGTCTGTCCCCTCCTGCCCTATGCTCTCTGTCCCCTCATGCCCTGTGGTCCCTGTCCCCTCCTGCTCCATGGACTCTGTCCCCTCTCAGCCAAGGGGTCTGTCCCCTCCTGAGCCATGGTCCCTGTCACCCCTCAGGCAAAGGGTCTGTCCCTCCTCCGTGGTCCCTGTCCCCTCCCAAGGCACATGGTCTGTGATCCCTGTCCCCTCTAAGGGCACCAGTGCTGTCCCTCTCCTGAGCCATGGTCCCTGTTTTCTCCCAGGGCAAGAGGTATGTCCCCTTCCGAACCACAGTCCCTGTCCCCTCCCAGGGTAGGGGTATGTCCCCTCCTGTTCCATGGTCCCTGTCCCCTCCCAAGGCACCTGGTCTGGCCCCTTCCCCATGATCCCTGTCCCCTCCAAGGGCACCAGTGCTGTCCCTCTCCTGAGCCATGGTCCCTGTTTTCTCCCAGGGCAAGAGGTATGTCCCCTCCTGAGCCACGGTCCCTGTCCCCTCTGAGGGTAGGGGTCTGTCCCCTCCTGAGCCACGGTCCCTGTCCCCTCTGAGGGTAGGGGTCTGTCCCCTTCTGCTCCATGGTCCCTGTCCCCTCCCAAGGCACCTGGTCTGGCCCCTTCTGAGCCATGGTCTCTGTCCCCTCCTGCCCCGTGTCAGCCAAGGGGTCGTTCCCCTCCTGAGCCATGATCCCTCTACCCTCCCATGGCACCTGGTCTGTCCCCTCCTGCCCCGTGGTCCCTGTCCTTTCCGAGAGTAGGGGTCTGTCCCCTCCTGCCCCGTGGTCCCTGTCCTCTCCTGCCCTATGCTCTCTGTCCCCTCCTGTCCTGTGGTCCCTGTCCCCTCCTGCTCCATGGTCTCTGTCCCCTCCTGCCCCGTGGTCCCTGTCCTTTCCGAGAGTAGGGGTCTGTCCCCTCCTGAGCCATGGTCCCTGTCCTCTCCCAAGGCACCTGGTCTGAGCCATGGTCCCTGTCCTCTCCCAGGGCAAGTGTTATGTCCCCTTCTGAGCCACAGTCCCTGTCCCTTCTGAGGGTAGGGGTCTGTCCCCTCCCAAGCCATGGTCTCTGTCCTCTTCCAGTGCAAGGGGTATGTCCCCTCCTTCCCCATGGTCCCCGTCCCCTCTCAAGGCACAGGGACTGTTCCCTCCTGCCCCGTGCTCCCTGTCCCCTCCTGTCCTGTGATCCCTGTCCCCTCCTGCTCCATGGACTCTGTCCCCTCCTTCCCAATGGGCCCTGTCCCCTCTCAGCCAAGGGGTCTGTCCCCTCCTGAGCCATGGTCCCTGTCCCCTCCAAGGGTAGGGGTCTGTCCTCTCCCAAGGCACAGGGACTGTCCCCTCCAGCCCCATGGTCTCTCTCTCTCCCCAAGCCCCATGCTCCCTGTCCCTTCCCAAGGCACAGGGACTGTCCCCTCCAGCCCCGTGGTCCCTGTCCCTTCCCAGGACAGGGATCTGTCCCCTCCTGGCCCAGCCACCCATCGCTTGTCCCAGCTGCCATCACCTACACGAAGAAGCCCACCCTGGATGATCACCCAACCAGCTCAGTGTGTGTCCTGGAGCAGCCCCACAACCCTGGGGACATGGTGGCACAGGGCCACCCCCCTACCCTGTCACTGTCCTGGGGGGGACCCGCTGCCTCCCCTCTGGCGTGGGAATGGGGGTCAATCTGGAGCCATTTGGCCACCGTGGTGCTCGTAAAGACAAAGATGTAGATCCAGGGGACACAGAGGGCCACGTGGTTGAGCTGGGTGGCCACCTGTGGGCCACCAGCTCCAGCTCCAAGAGGGGACAGCCACCCATCACACTCAGTGTCACCTCCGCACCCCCTTCTTTCCACCACCTCATGGGCTCCATCACCCTCTGCACCTCCAAGGGGTCCAACGCACACCCTCCACGGGGGCTCTGCCCTCCTCCCCCCTGCCCCGGCAGGTCTCCAAATTTTGGGGGCACCTCCCCGCTGACGTTGTCACCCCCACAGCGTGAAGGAAACCTGACGGTTTGTCCCCCATGCCCCC